AGAGTTAACATTAAATCCTACCACCTATAGCTATAGGCACCTGGTATATACGCATATATAAATATATATAATATATATATATATTTATATCTATATCTATATCTATATCTATATATATATATCTATCTATATTATATATATTATATATATATGTGTATATATATATGTGTATATATATAACATATATATATGTATATATATAATATATATATATATATATATATATATATAGGCACCTGATAGCAGCACAGAAACTGCATTTCTTATTCAACGCAAGCATCAGCAAATGAACCAGCAGTGGTGAACAACAGCGTAGCACGTGCTGCTTTCGTGTCACTCACTCTTCTGCTCTCAAAACTTTCCCATGGTTGCCTTCCGGCCGTCATCGGAAATGCCCACTGAATGTACACTGAACTCGCAACTCGCCTGATTGCACCTTGCCCCGTCTCTGAGGTGTCTAGCCTGCGCGATTCATAGTCCGAGCATCACCCGTCACGTACTTTGTTTCGTAACTCTCGCTACGGTTCGCCATGATTCGCCGTTTTTCATAATGATGAACGATAGGGGGTTGGTGCGCCCCAGCCCCCTGATTATTCCAAACTAAAACGATAGAGCTGAACAGAAAGCACCGGTAGATTTGTCTCAACGAGCCTCGCTATTGATACTATTTCAAATTTTTCAGCCTTACATCATACATACGAGATCATGATTCGTGGTGCAAAATTTGAAATGTTTCTTGTTTGATTCTGAGTACAATGGTGTGTCTTTGTATGTGTTTTGAGCATATATTTATTACATGTGGCTCGGTGAATACAACAATGTCGGCGCGACGCGCGAGTTCCGCAGCATCGTCGGTCGCCGCCCACCGCCTGCGTCGGCCATAGATTGCTGTGTGGTGTACCTAAAAAAACACCGCTGTTCCGAAACCAGAAAACGTAGTAACGTTTTTTTTTGTTAAAACACGTGCAATAGCTACCTGATACACATCGTCAAATTAGAACGCACCAGTGGCTATTCAAAAGATGGACGAGATTGTGCAGCATGCCAGGCAGCTATTTTCAACAACAAAAAACATTAGGGCTGGGTCGCATCGACCCCCTTTCAGGGCAAGGGATAACGTCCGCTCGAGTGTGGGATCAAATTCACCCCCAAGAGATCTTGTAGAATAATGCATGAGCGTAGCAGCGTAACCACGACAAACCTCGCACACCTGTAGGCAATCGAATAGCAGATCTTTGGTTAACGAAGTTAGGTGGCGGGGGATGGGATAATTGCGCCCGTGAGAAAATTGCACCCTTCCTCGCTATAGGCCAAACAGCAGGTATGGCTGTAAAGTATGACCGAACACTGATTGGTGGTCAAAATAGGCTAGGTCTAGGAAACCAGCTTTCCGGTTGTATAACGCAACGGCTATGGTCCCGAGATTTGTCAAGCACATTTGGCTGAAAAACACTGTAAGTTTTTCTGGGAAATTTGCAAATTTGTGTCCAGAAATAAGATCTGTAAGCACCTTCATCACCAAATTTGGTTTCTGCGCTGAGTTTGCACTATGTGTAGTCTAAGCACGGGTTTGACCGATTTTGTCTCTCGGTAGAATGCTTCGTAACATATATGTGATCACTCTGGCGGGCCGCATAAGGCGCTCTCGTGGCGCGCGGCGTATTTATCCGCCACGGGCCACATGCCGCCGTTTAATGTGCTAGTACGCACACCCCAGGACCATGTGGAAGCCAAACGACGTAAGACATGACGCACCGTAGGCAGATCCTTGTTTCTACGTCAATATCTCAACATTGCATAGTTTCATATAAAGTGTATAGCTTGGAGGCAACTCGAAATCTCCCGCGAGTGCAATTGAATGTTATTGTCATGACGGGCTAAATGCATCACATGTGCTTTACTCAATTACCCCTCACGGGTAGCCGCGGAGGAAGGCATGCGCGTCACATAGACAAAGAGTTCTTAGCGGTTAGCGACGAAGAAAGCCTTACACGGTTGGTTCGCTGGTTATTCGGATTAGAGCCCATTCAACTAGAATTGGTCATTTCAACGCATTTCGGGGATAAAGGAGATTGAATAACGGTGGGGCAGAACTGCATGTGCCTGGGCGGCCAACCGGCGAACTTAGCTCGAGCAGTGCCCCTCTGCGGGGTATGCGCTGGGTGTGCGGTCGGGGCCCCCTCCAGGGGGCCTCTCGGCCCACTCGTGGCTGGCGCATGCAGCCTGCCGAACCGTGTCGAGCCCATGGCGTCAATTTGCAGCAGATCAAGAACACGCGGAAGGATGAAGCGACTGAAAAAGTGAAAGCCGTGAGTTCTAGACGACCTAAAAACCTTAAACGTTTGTTTCAAAGGACGAAAGCCATATTTACGTCGGGCGGCTTGACAGAAGGGATGTGGGACGTTTGATGAGACGGTTGGGGCAGTGCATGGCGAAGAAGGCTCGAATCCTGAGACAAGGCGAGATGATGTTTTGAATTCTATAACAGTGACGGTACTCC